GTTCTGACTCGACTTGTATTACGGCCCGCCGACTGATTGATTTCGTCTACCTAAGATCAAATCACAACGTGGGTAGGTTAGACTAGAAATCAAAGCAGTTACTTCGGTAACCAGACGTTGGAGGCGAGCTTTTAACGACAAAGCTGATACCGAATCTAACCAGATTCCCGTCCGAATCAGTAAAAGGTTAGAACGTCACATTTGGTGCCGCGACCAATACCAAGTCACATTGGTCGTCGCAGTTTCAGACGGAGTGTGGGGCAGAGAGGCAGACGCGGTGACGTCACAATTCAATACTTCCAAATCAAAGCTAGAAGCAGTTCATCAGCACCGAACAGTCTCCAAACATGAACCAATACTAGTGGTGGTCATACTCTCAAAAAGGCTCCTTGTCTTGAACACCTAATCGGTCGGAAGCTCAAATGGAATGCGTAGATTCGTGCCATTGCAAAAGACGCTGAGAGAATGTTCGGTTCCTTGAATCGCTCCAAGAAATACCTAACTCGTCTGCTATGGTCTAACTTTACAAGAGCAAGAATTGAGTACGACTTATCTATTTGCGTAGATACATGCTTACTGCCTAAAATTCAAAAGCGGATACGCGGCTTTGTGGATGATGAATTTATTCTACATTCTGTATGCCTTATCTCACGAAAGAAACGTCATTTGACTCTCACTGCTCTATTACTATTACTATGGCAAATGCCCGGCTGAGTTTCATTCCTTAGACTCACCAGATCTTCTCAGCTAGGGCCTGTCATACCAAGTTCACGGTGGCAAAAATCGACCCAGACAGCTTCTTCCCCAGGATTGTTACCTTGAGAGAATGCTTCCCCGACAACTAAAAGCTTTGTCACTTCAAGTCCAGCCTCAATCGATATTCCAATCGCACACACGTCCTCATAATATGCACTTTTTTCTCTTTCTACTCCGCCTTACAACAATTTCATTCAATAACCTTCTGCCTTGAGTTGACATTGAACCTTGTATTGAAGAGAAATAACAGTATAAAAATGTACTTTGGACAGAAAATAGATCTATTATATAAGTAATGCCTACTAATTCCTGGCCTCTGCCAATCGTGGAATAAAGTCACTCGGATTATTACGGATGGCGTACCTGCTATGACTGGTGAACAAAGTGGATTATCAACCTTAATCTGTAATAAACTCTGTGAAGCAGGTAAAGTTATAAAACTCCATTTTATTACTCACCAACAAGTTCTCTGTGCTAAACATCTCAAATACAATCAAGTTATGAAACCAGTGATAAGGACTTAATATTATTCACTCTAAAGTCCTGTGCCACCACCAAACAAATAGCTCCTACTTGATATCCAGGCTGAATATGGAGATATTGTATATTACAACAATGTGAGATGACTCAGTCGGAGGAGGGGGGTGTACTTTTGCGCTTCTAATCTCTCAAGGAAGAAACTGAACAATGTTTGGCAGAGAAGAGACAACAGATACCAGAACAATTTGATCCTGTTTAGCTGACTGGTTTTTAATTGAAATAAAGTATCTGAATGCACTGAGCATGAGTCTTCGGAGGCAAGACGAAGCAATAAAGCAAATGTATTCACATAATAGTTCTATTATGTTAGTAATGCTTACAGTAATTCCTGGTATTTGACAATTCTTTTCTTTCTAATTTTTAATGCATTTCTATAGAAATATCATCAGGAATCAATTGATATTTGCTAGTCCCATTCTTTACTTCCTAGGTGTGAGGGTGGCGTAATGAATAGCCGTTCGGAATGATAAACTAGTGAGGTCTGTTCGAATTCCGTTCGGGTTCGTTAAATTCATTTACGCACAAATCATTTGGTAAAGCTATGAGCCCATCACCTCAAGCAGTTATCGATTAAATAGAAGGAACTCTATCTAGAAAAATCATGGTTATTCTAAAAAATCTATCTCTCTTTATATATATATATATATATATATATATATATATATATATATATATATATATATATATACTTATATTTATATTATATCTATATTTATTATATCTATGTCAATGCATTTTTCGAATGGCTTAGGGTAAAATATTAATCTTATTTGATTTTGGAGTAAATAATAAAACCTACAATTATCGCAATTTACTTCAAATGGAGAAAAATGCATCAGAAATTAAGAAATGATCAGTGAAATTTAAGATAATGATGCAGTAGGTGCAAGCATGTGTCGGTTTGGTTTCGTTTCTTTCACGGGTTATCAACCTCAACCGACAAGATTTTATTGCTGATAATATTTTTTTTTCCAAAAATTAATTTTGGTAATAATTTTTTCTTCAAAAATCTCTTGCTCGTAATAATTCCCCCCCCCACAATTTATTGCTGGTATTATAACCTATTTTTACACTTTTTGACCTCAGTTTGGGGGTTAACTATTTGCCCATAATTGGGACATTAACAATCGCTACCACCCTTGGAACACCAGCAATTAAGAGGTGGTTACACGCTCCTCAAAACCTCCTGATTAAAGGCCTTGCTGTTGGACGTAGTTTATCGTCTTACCCAGGACGAGGATGTAGTTTATCGTCATACCCAAGGCCGGGCATGTGTCGGTAAATGATTGCAGAGTTTAAAAAACAGACGATTTATGGTTCAACGGTAGAAACAAATCAATCTGTTTATGCATTAATTCCTAATCACATACAGTCTATTTCTTCTTGATTGCCAATGGATTTTCATAAGAAATTAATAGAAATCCAGTAAATTAGAAAAAGTTTATTCTTCCACTCAAACGCTTGAAGTAAATTAGGACCACAAGAAATAAGACTTAATCAATGGAAAACAGTAATTAAAAAAAACGAATATCTGTCTATATCTCTGAGATGAGGTATTATGATTATTTACATTATTCGGACTGTTACCCTCATCTTCATTGCCATATTCACAACGTTTCAGCCTTTTTGCGCTTCGGTCTGCTTCAGGTGATTGGAATTTCGAAACGAACTCTTTATTTCGTCCACCGGGGTAGATTGTTCCAGTTCTTTTTCCGGATGTCTCAGTTATTTCCCTTTAACTCAACTTTCCAAGTTTTTTCGGTTCCCCATTGCTGTAGCCGCGTATTGAACTCACAACTCTTTGGGTGTCGTCACTTTCTCTAAACAACGCCTTTATCCACTGGGCTATGTGTCCATGGCACGTGAACTAGAACAATTTAATTTGGAACTAGAACAATGCACCCGAGTGGACAAAATAAAGGGTTCGTTTCGAAATTCCAATCACCTGAAGAAAGCCGGAGCGTACAGTGGCCGAAACGTTGTGATTATGGCAATGAAGATGATGGATACAATACGAAGAATGTAAATGATGTAAATAAATATTTTCTTTCTCCTCTTTTTCTTTCAATTTATGCTCTTCTTCTTTCATGTATGTATCATGCGAGTGCCGCTGCTCTAAATTATTGATTAATCATAGTCTAGTATATTTGTATACTAAAGTATATCGGGGTAGGGTTCTAGTGCCATGAAACGTGGAACAATCTACCCCAGTGAACGAAATAAAGTGTTCGGCTCGAAATTCCAATCACTCGAAGAAGGCCGGAGCGTACAAGGGTCGAAACGTTGTGAATATGGCAATGAAGATGAGGATAACAGTCCGAATAATGTAAATAATGCAAGTAATCATAATACCTCATCTCAGAGATATAGACAGATATATAGAGAGACGTAGACATAAAGGCCGGTGCGTAGAACGGCCAAAACGTTGTGAATATGGCAATGAAGATGAGGATAACTTTCTGAATAATATAAATAATGCAAGTAATCATAATACCTCATCTCAGAGATATAGACAGATATATAGAGAGACATAGACATAAAGGCCGGAGCGTACAACGGCTTAAACGTTGTGAATATGACAATGAAGATGAGGATAATAGTCCGAATAATGTAAATAATGTGAATAAAATATCCGAATTATTATCCTCCGTGTTTTATAATTCATTTTTTATGAAGCTTTAATTATAGCGAAATATATTAAATTCATAAAGGTTTTTTAATGTGTTCTTTATTCTATCCTTCTGTTGGATTCTAATCCATATTTGATCTTACGAGCTGTGATACAAAAGTATTGGGGCTGTTGCTATGGTAACGGAGCTGAAATACAGAAAGTGAAGCCCTTTGGCAGAAATTAACCTTAATGCATCTCACGCATGCATATAATAAGGTATAAAGTGTTTTCTAACTTCCGTTAATTATAGCAGTGCTTGGAAGGAAAATGTGTAGAATGTGGTCGTCTCACCACGCCACAGAGTTTTCCATGAGCCCAGAAATTTTGGTTCAAGTACAACTTTCTCCAGATTCGATAATCGCCATATTCGCCTGCTCTTGTCCCTTGCGACAAATATCAAATCCTATTTGAAAGGAATACGATTCCTATACGTCTTGGAAATCCAAGAGAATGCGACATGTCAGCTGCTCGCTATCCCAAAAAATTTCCTGGAATTCTTTCAGCAATGGAATAGACGCTGCATGAGGGCTGTGTCTTTAGTAGGGGACTACTTTCAAAGAGATTAAATAGCGTATTGATATGTGTTGTAGTTTTCTTATAATAGTACCAGTCCCGATTCTTTTTGATAATAACTCGTCTCCGATTACATTTTATCCTCTCCGATCAGGGAATCTATATAGAAAAAAAAAACATCAGTCTGCACATATCTATCTATCTATCTATTCCCACCAGTAAGTTCATTATCTATCTATCTATCTATCTATCTATCTATCTATCTATCTATCTATCTATTCCCACCAGTAAGTTCATTATCTATCTATCTATCTATCTATCTATCTATCTATCTATCTATCTATCTATCTATCTATTCCCACCAGTAAGTTCATTATCTATCTATCTATCTATCTATCTATCTATCTATCTATCTATCTATCTATCTATCTATCTAACATCCTATCAAGCTCCAGAGATATATGTTTCAAATAAAACCATTTTATACAAAAACAAATGATTTACCTAAAGACAAGCAGCATTACATTTGTACCCACAGTAGAGGAACAAAGACAAGTAACTCGAATCTTTTCACAACATCCCAAGTGCTAAGATTTCTATGATAGATAGATAGATAGATAGATATAAACATTTTGAGGCTGACTAACAGAGAGACAAGCAGAAAAATGAATATTTCTTTTAGATGTTTTCTTTTAGATAGATAGATGAATGAATGAATAGAATAGATGAATGAATATGAACAAGTGAGATAGATAGATGAATGAATAGATGAATGAATAGATAGATAAGGAACAAATCGAAATATAGATAGATAGATGAATGAATAGATGAATAGATAGATAGATAGGAACAGGCTTAGATAGATAGATAGATAGATAGATAGATGAAGATAGATAGATAGATAGATGAATATGAACATCTTGAGGCTGACTAACAGAGCGACAAGCAGAAAAATAGATATGTCTTTTAGATAGATACATAGATGAATAGATAGATAGATAGATAGATAGATATGAACAGAGTGAGATAGATAGATAGATAGATAGATAGGAACAAATCGAAATATAGATAGATAGATAGATAGATAGATAGATAGATAGATATGAACATAGATAGATAGATAGATAGATAAATAGATAGATAGATAGATAGATAGATAGATAGATAGGAACAGGCTTAGATAGATAGATAGATAGATAGATAGATAGATAGATATGAACATCTTGAGGCTAACAGAGCGACAAGCAGAAAAATAGATATTTCTTTTAGATAGATAGATAGATAGATAGATAGATAGATATGAACAAAATGAGATAGATAGATAGGTAGATATGAACGCATCGAAATATACAGATAGATAGATAGATAGATAGATAGATAGATAGACATGAACAGACTGAGATAGATAGATAGATAGATATGAACAGTCTTAGATAGATATGAACAGACTGAGATAGATAGATAGATTACTCAAAACAGACTGCCACAGACATCTTAGTAGATATTTGATAAAGCACATATTGATATTATTTATTCACTCAAGAGTATGTTTTCTACTCGAAGCAAACAAATCGCCTCCTACCTTCTAAAGAATTCTTGACGATTGTATTCAGTAGAGATGGACGTAAACTGACAGCACACTACGAACCATCCGCATCGATCAATGTATTTTCGCGCTGCACAAAACCGCCGACGTTTTCGCCAAAAGAAATTCTATCGCGCGCCTTCTTTTCACAGATTTTTTTTTTATTCGCCAATGCATTTATTCAAAAGTGAAATCCATTTTAAAGCTGACAAATATGACAAACGAAGAAGAGATTTTATGTTGAAGCTGACCGCCTTTCTTATACTTAAAAACAATTTATATCACAGACATACACACTCGTTTTTATATATAATGTATACCTACGACACAAGACTTATATACATATATATATATATATATATATATATATATATATATATATATATATATATATAATAGCTGGCGACTCGTATTCGAGGATACTTGTCTACTAGGACGGCTAGCCAATCCCTACTGCAGACGTTCGCTCAGGCACAGTTGTGTTTATTCAACACCCACAGAGCCCACCTATGCTGAGCAGACCTTAGTTACAGTTTCTGGGAGAGATCGTGTTATCTATAATTATCAATAATCTAAACAACACCAGCACACTCAAAGCCTCGGCCACGATGACTTGTAACTTCGTGCTAGCACAGCCCCAAGTGTTCTGTTTACCCAATTTCTTGGGTCAAACCGTGGTATGGTTTTCAGGCACTTTCTTTTTACTTCCCTCCCCCTCTTTTTCCTTTTTCTTTTCTCTTTTCTCCCCTTCCATTTCAATATATCACTTCCGTTAAGTTAACCGTCTAAATAGGTCAAGGTCTGGTCACTCCTCCTCCCCCAATACAAAGTATGCTTGAGAGAGATATGAAATTAATCCCTCCCTAAACTCTAACATGTCTCTTTAACTACCCCTTTTTGCACTCTCTGTTAAATTACAAAAACTTACACTACCCATCAATTTTAATTTCATTTTTCGTTTCATTTCATTTTTGGAAGTGCTATCTGATGATCCGGCGTCCTTTTAAAATGACTCTGGTGAAATAAATTATTATAATGGTACCTTAAAGTGGTCTGTTTTTTTTTTAAATATTAGCTCTGAATTTACATTGAGCTCTCAGGATTTCATCCTCCTTGGGATTACCCATACGGATTACCAAGTTCTTCATAACTTAACTTATATCTATCTATCTATCTATCTATCTATCTATATATATATATATATATATATATATATATATATATAGAGAGAGAGAGAGAGGGGGGGTAGATAGATAGATAGTGTTCCAAAATAATGTATGCACTCTGTGAATCGTCATAACTTATTCAATTTATGTATCTTGACTTATAAATAAGATTAATACAAGAGTAAGTATAAACATTTAAAGAATTTGAGAGTAATATATACAAAAACAGAGAAAATTAACTTAAATAAGATAAAATCTACTTGGGGCAATGGCAGAATGTTTATTTATAATGATGAATTCACACCAAGTGCTCAAACTGGTTGCTGTTCTGTTCAATTCACTTTTCATATCTTGAAGAAATAGACCTACAAACGTCCAGTATCATTTCCTCTTGTATTTGAGCATATTCTTCTTCAATTGCTACTCTCATTTCAGCAATAGATTCAAGTTTCCTGCTGTAACCTTTATCTTTTCGAAATCCCCACTAAAAGAAACCCAAGGGTGTCAAATCTGGTGATCAAGGTGGGTATTCAACTGTCCCGCTTCTTCCAATCCATCTGTTTTGCATATTTTCATCCATATAAGTTCTCACATCACGGTAATGTATTATTACCTATTAATATTTAAAGAATGTATACATTATTTTGAATATATATATATATATATATATATATATATATATATATATATATATATATATATTGATGCATGTTTCATTAAATAATATAGACAAGTTTTGTCTATTTATTTTAAGTTATTTTCCTTCATATTGTCTGATAAGCTTTTAACATTATCATTGAAAAACGAAAGAAAATCACCATATTGATGCATGTTTTAATCCTCTCTAAGCTCTCGGCATACATAAAAGATGACAATTACATTTCAATGTATCAACCATTACACGGACGAAACAATAATGACAGCCTCGTTTTGTTGCATGAAAAATTTCAAAGCAACGACAAACTCGTGTATACGAGATGCGGACGCGAAATATATATATATATATATATATATAACCTTATAAGTGTAAGCAGCTATTTTCGTCCGGCAAAACCTTAGGTGTTTTAGCATGTAAATGAACAAACCAATACCCAAGGGAAAAAGGGTGAAAAAAAGAAAGAACTAAGAACATGTATTTTCGGCGAATATAATCATCTAGAATCTAAGTTCAGAGTCCAAAGAAAAAAACCTCCGACACGAATAAAGTAAAAATAACTAAGCAAAGTGCTCAATATGCTAAGTAGAGCAAAATAAGTAAACCTAAAGAGCCAGCAAAACCTACCTAGTTTTCACCTACGCCGATCTGGCTCAGTTCACCCAGTCGATCGCGTTGGTGAAACCTAGGGAGGTTGTCTGGCTCTTTAGATTTACTTTTTATATATATATATATATATATATATATATATATATATATATATATATATATAATAATTAAAGGCATGCTATATTTATGGGTTAAAGTGGTTAGAATCAGGTACAGAGGCTATTTAAATATAAAAGATGAAACTGATGTTAATACATAAGCTGGCGGCTACATAAAAGCATGAAACTTTATTGGCATTTTTTTTTCATTTATTCCTTGGTTTTTTATGGTTTACTAACCCCTTGCATGTTATTGAGAGCCAGAAAAAAATTTAAATTGTAATAATTTTTAGAGGAAAATAAAAGTCTTGCTAATTAACCTATAGCTGCGGGTGAAAGGGTGGATTCATGAGCGTAAATGAATATAAAAACAAGGGAGATCTCTTATTATCAATTCCGAGGCATTAACATCCGCGGTATATCCGAGCTTACAGTACCCATCTAGGTACTGGACAGGCTCAACGTTACTTAACTTTGGAGATCATACGGAAACCGTTGTGCAGCCGTAAGCCGATTGAGAAGATTGATTAAAGTCATAATTCGTTCAAGATTTTCGTGTTTTATTGGCAATTACTGAAGAATAATTAAACGAGGAGTATATATATTCATACATATCTATCTATCTATCTATCTATATATATATATATATATATATATATATATATATCAAGACAAATTAAAAGCTAAAACAGTTACTTTAGGACTAAATCCTTCAATTCATGATTGTTTCATATTGAAAGGATAAAGTTTAATTAATCTTGACAGCTTCCATACACGTTGTTTTATCCGGATTTAAAGTTTAAAAATGTCAGAGAATTAAATCAAGAACGTCATCAGGAGAAGCCTGCTTTTGAGTCACGCCACCGTTTGTAAGCGACTAGAGTCATACGTTGAACATGATAGAATCCGGTCGACTATTTAGCAGTTTGGGCATTAGAAGATGCAATCGAACCGTCACTTACACACTGTTAAATTTGTAATAATCGTACAGCCAAGCTTTTCAACTTTTGAAAAGTATTCCAACAATCACAGTCTTATATTCAAACACGGTTTATTTATTATTGTGCAAAGTTCCTAGAAGAAAATTTCAATTCTAAGAAAATGATAATTTTGGACTGCGGAATTGATTCAATATAGACCTTTCAATGTAGAAATGGAATGTCTCATTAGATAAAGGGGTAGGACTACAGGCAAACATACGTTACCTCGTCCAGATTTATATAAACAGATGAGTGGCCAAGGGCTACGCGTGCTTCTGTATTTCGTACGTCCCGAATGGTGATTTGGCCTTCCAACCTCGCCACAATTGAGCAAAAGTTCGACCGACTCAACAGTTTAAAAACTCCGGACAAGTCTGTCTCACGGTTGCTAAATGACGTTAGCCAGTCACCCTCGTTCTACAATCCAGATATCTGGCCACGGTCCCCGTGCGTTTCGACAACTTCAAAGAACTAATGTACCTGCTTCTACACCGAATAAATGCTTGTGTGGCTTGCGGGAAGATATTCCACCCAGACGGATCAATTAATAGGAGAGATTGTCCAGCAGCTAAACAGGTGTGTCATAATTGCGGGATTAGGGGTCACGTAAAAAGGTTATGCCAGAAATCTATCAAAACTTGTTATGATGTTGATTTGGGGTTAGTAGTGTGACGTCCTTGTCGCAGCGCCAGCTGTGACGTCCTTGGTCGCGGCGTCAGCTGCGACGTTCCTAAACACAGCCTTCGCTCACTCCTCGCTGCTCCGTTCGAGTGTCGCCGCTCCAAACGTGACGTCCGCCTGTCGCGTCAGTCGTGTTGTCTCGTCCTGTGACGACCAACTGGCTTGGTATCGGTCGCGGCACCCAAAATGACGTTCTAACCTTTTACTGATTTGGATGAGAATCTGGTTAGATTCGATATCAGCCTCGTCGTTCCCAACTCGCTTCCAACGCCTGGTTACCAAAGTAACTGCATTGATCTCCAGTCTGCCTACCCACGTTGTGAATTGATCTTAGGCAGACGAGATCAATCAGTAGTTGGGGGCCGTAATGCAAATCAGGTTCAACGGGGGTGACACCACACAAATATGCATAGAAGAAAATAAAATGATAACTCAAAAATTCAAAGGTATCAAAAAGGATAACAAACTTTATGTCTAGTTGTTGGATACATAGGACTGCGTCTATTTCCCGACCCGTTCTATGGATTTGTGACACGTTGTTTTCCGTTAGGCGAGTTTTAACACTTCAAGTTGTTTGCTCTTTTAAGAAATTGGTTTTCCGGGGTGTGTCTTCGGGCGAAAGTAAAAAGAAAAAAACTTATTTTGGTGGTCTGGACCTAAGTCGCTCTTCAAATTAATTGTTCTTGGATTGAAGAGGAGTCCGGAATTTGCGTGAATCTTGGTCAGCTATCTGCGAGGCGGAACC